GTTTTCCGTTATATTTGACCAAGTAGACGAAATTGAAATGAATCTGAAAGTTAATAGACCACTTAGAAATAAAACATAGTTTCTAGACTAAAATGAAATCAAGGTGATAGTTAATAGACTAAAAATTAAATTAAGCCAAAGTGCAAGCGTATAGATAAAGACGTTTACCTTTATACTTTGTTTTATTTAAATATATTAATTTGTTAATTTTTAAATAAAAATATCAATTTTAAAATAATATTAATTTTATCATTTTCTCTCAAATCTATTAGTTCCAAATTATTTAATTTCAGAACTGTTATAAAATAAAAAAATATTTTGGGCAACTAATATTAATACTGGAGACAACATTCAACAAACATTCCCAAAACTAAGTCTACCATAAATATTAAATATATTAGATATATTTTAAATATTTTAAAAATATTAAAAAACAAAAAACTTATAATTATAATAATTACAGAACAATCTTTCCAATTTTGGTCGTAGTTTTCCAATTCAACGTGGTTCCCGTGCAACAATGTAAGAGAAATAATATGATTGAAATACAGAACGGCCCAATTTAGTATGTAATACAAAGTTTCGGCCCAATCCACTATGAAATATAAAGTTCCAATTAACAATACAAAGTTCAGCCTAATTTAGTATGAGATTCAGAAAAATATCAAGGCAAATAACCCAATATATCCTTGCTGATAAAAAAAAAGCCCAATTCCTACGTCTACCAGCAACAAGGCCTACAACGTCCTTCAACAAGGCAGCAGCATTTGGGCCTTTTTGGCCTGTCCATTATTAACCATCAATGTCATCAGCGATCCCCATGTCAAATTACAGTGCATGAACCACACTCCTACATACTATATTTTGATATGAAAAAAAAAAAATTAATATTATGGAAAAAAACAAATTAATATTGCCAAAATAGTTGTGTCATAAACATTTTTTTTTTTTTTTTCTTCTGAGCTGCGGATGCACTATGTAAAGAGAAATTGTATTAAGGCATGTGCTACCTGCGCCATCTTTAATATATTAA